TGGGGCGAGACCGCCTCCCGTCGCGCCCAAGCCTCCCGCCGGCGCCGGTGGAGGTGCCGGTGGAGGTGCGAGAGCTGTGCCACCACCGCCGCCGCGTCGATGAGACCGGGGTGCGGCTGGGCTTGGCAGGCCAAGAAGAGGGAACGACGAGCACGCAACATGAAAGGCCACGACTTACGCACAACCTCACCCCTCTACGCCAGCCCCGGGCCCTGGTCCGAGTCCCGCTCGCTTGCTCGCTTGCTTGCTTGCTTGCTCGCTTGCTCGCTCGAGCTCGTTGTACGGCCCCTCGACCCCGTCTGCGCCGGGGGAAAGGCGGAAAGATATGGAATAGACAGAAACAAAGTTGCCTTGGCGCCCTCGGCCCCCGCTCGCGTTGTTGCTCGTCGGCATCCTTCAGAGGCATGGCGGACGATGAAAGTCTGGAGTGCCCATGCGTGCGCGCGGACCCCGTTGAGGGCGATGGAGGGCCGCGATGGGGAGCCACGATGATCGATGGAGCCCAGATACCGAAACAGCCACTTCCGTACGGACCTGGAAGCTCATCGGCGCCAGGGTCGACCGATGCAATCATGAATGCGATGCGATGCGATGCTGAACGAGCGGGCGAGGTGAAACGCCACGATGCGCCGAACGAACGAAAGGCGACGGGACAGGACGGGACGGGAGGGTGTCGAGACAGAGGGGGTGGGGGCGACGCGACGGAACGGAACGGAACGGGACGGGACGGGACGGGCAGAGAGGTGCGAATAAGATACGGACGGATGAACGGCTGACGGAGAGACGGCGGACGCGTCCGCTACTCGGCGCCCGTCGAGGCGGCTGGTGGATTGATGTGTGCGTCGAAAAAAGACCTGGAGTCAGGATCGGTTGGGCTGGCTGGATCGTTGGCGTGTCGAGGAGCGCTCGACGTTGCTGCTGCTGTCGCTGCCGCTGTGTCGATATCGGCGAAGAGAACCACCGACGAAGAGAACCACCGGCGACCGGGACGAGATCGCCTTGCCGCGTTTCGGCATCGCGGGCGGCGGGCGCGTGCGTGCGTGCGTGCTGGCACGGCTCGCTGGGCTCACTGAGCCGGTCGGCTGGTGTCGATGGGGGGAGGGACGGCATGGATGCCCGGGCCCGTCTCGCCGACCTTTTCCACGTGGCCAGGCGGGGCGCTGACCGTGTGACGGGGCTCGCCGACGCCCATGGCCTCCGAGGGTCCAGTGCCAGCAGCGGGGGCGGTGGTGGCGCCGCCGCCGCCGCCGACGACGGCGTCGCGAC